CCCCCCCCCCCCCCTTGCTTGTTAGAGAAGAAAACTGATGAGGGCACTGGATGAGTGTCTATCATCTATGGTCTGTTATAATTTGCTTTTTATGCAAATAGTGAGCAAAAAAGCAAAACTGTACAAGTTACATATATAGTACTATATATAATATTGTTTAACACCATGGCCATGATACTAGAAATTTGTTTATTAAAGTTGCATTAAATTGTTTCTACAATCAATGAACTTGATAATATGTTTCATAATTATCCCCCCCCCCCCATGTAATGACATACCGGTAGCAATGACATACCGGTAGCAGCCCTTAATTAACATTGTTTCACAATAATATTCTCATCATATTTTCACTAAAATGTTATGAAATATTTAACTATTGAGTTAATGTTCAAGTATTAAAAGACAGAGCTGCCCAGAGCTTTTTGGGGGTCCAGCTGCAAATTGCTCTAACTGCCCTCTGCCTCCCCTGGACAGCCCTGTTAGAAAATGAAGCATTAGATCTTCTATTAATACTGAAATTTCTTGCGTACTGTGTGTTTATTTTTTAAATTAATTTTTCCAATCATGTTGAGTTTGCCATACATGTGAATATATTGTCAGATGATAACCAATTGCCTGAAGTGTGCTGAATGTGCTGCAGCCTTGGTTGTGGAGAATAACAGCCAACCTTCCTTGCCTGATCACACATATGGTCAATCATGCTCTTCCATGCCACCCAGCCTTGCATGATTTCTTTCAAGAGCTATGGTAGTCTGAACTCATCCTTTTTGGAAACGACTAGCTATAAAAATATTAAACGGTGTGTTTTGACGTTAAAACCAATCTTACGTTCACAACGGCGGGAAGTATATGATCCTAAACTAGATTTCACGTTTAAACAGTATAAAACACCATTCACGAGGCTAACATAGCACAGTATTTCTGGCAATGAAACGCTCGAACTGACCAAGTGACCATTTCACACGAACTTTTATCGATGGATAATTTTGCGAGTTTTCATCCAATTCAATCATATATATGCTCAAAATCTTCGCGGTAAGTTTCTCTTTACCATAAAACTTGACCGAATAAGTTTCGAAACAATGCGACGACAAAAAGTGCAAAAATCCTGATTTTCGTGATAGAATCTATAGTCCTTTTGCCCTGTTGTACCACCATCTTGGATTTATCATGTAGGCCCCGCCTGCGCTAGGTATGCGTTAGCAATCTAGATCTCCTATATCTATGGATTATACCTATAGTAATGCAGTCAATATCAAATAAGCCAGTACAGCGGTAATTTGCCACATTCCTTATTTTTTTGTTAGCGGGTTCTGGAAACGTTTTTCATTAATATTAATATCCCAGCAATGTTTCAGCAGTTTCCATCTGTCTCACAAATATAATACTCTGGTTCCAGAGGTTCTTGTGCTGCCGTAATATAAATTACGAAAGAAATACGAGCGAGAATAGGGCGGAAGATATGAGAATTTTTGCATGGCAACCAGGGTACAAATATAAAAATGTACAAAGCGATTTTAATTTTTAGATTCTGTCAACAGTTCCGACTCCGATGATAATTCGAACTCCTATTCAAGTGGTTATAATGGAGATTGTGATTCTGAAGGTGAACTTTGTCTTTGAATTTCTTTTATTACACCACATGCCATGGCATACCGTACCATACCGTATTGTTGTAGTCCTAGAATTTGGCTGAGAAGATATAGGAGAGTATGTATTCTACCTCAACACGGTTATATTATAGAGTCTGTAGTTGTCTTTTTTGGCAAATATAATGTTATTATTATGACAATTGACATTAGTGACAATTAATCGTTCCCACTAATTCGAGATTTGAGGAAATTTTAATCACCGCGATAGGTAAAAATACAGACTCCGTCATTACAAGAGAAACTTTAACCTCCGTCTTAGTACGGTATTACAGATTAAAAGACAATTAGATTGGTGGAACTCGCGCGTGATCTGCAACCACTTTTTCTGGGCAATTGTGCTTTGAAAATCCACATTTTCGTAGCCTGCGAGGCGCTATTAGGGGAGAGGGCCCTATTAGGCGGTAGCTCACATTTTCTGTAAGGAATTAGATAGGAAATGCCGAATATTAGGTCATACAATATAAAGGACCTAAAGCACAGAAACAGTGGGGGGAAAAGTCAACATTTTAAATTTCACTAAAGAAAACGCAGATATGCCTATTTGTTCCAAATACCTTAGGCTTAGACAGTCCATTAAATGACCTAGAAACCAAAGTATTTAACATCATATACCGTGCGGTATTGTGGGACGAGATTCTATTCTTTGTTTGCAATGGCATAATTTTGGGATTTCAGTTCACGGACAGGTATAACAAAAAACAGCTATAACAAAAAACAGCTACTTCAATGTATAGATCGAGTTTTAGAGACAGTTTAAGACTCAAAAGATGAATTACCGTTCACTTTTTCTTGCTACAACCATTCTGATAAGAGAAAAAGGGTCCACAAGTTGTTTCATTGCCCGTCATTTGGATGAAAAGTCACGTGATAGCAAACAAATAATATCTAATATTGAAAGATCACGTAAGAGCAAACAAAAATATCTAATATTTCTATGGTTGTATTGTATTGTACTGCGTACTGTGTACTGTGTACTGTGCTGTTTTTCTTATGGGTTCCAACCCAGACATAGATAATGAATGCCCTTGACAGGGAATTTTATGCAAAACATTTTTTGACAGAAAACAAAGGGGAAATTGATGTACAATGGAAGGAAAAATGTGAAGAGCCCATGGTAAAACCTGAAGAATTAACAGGAATTCCTGACACAGAAAAATCATCATTAATCAGGTACGCGTGAATAGGGTGGCATATTTTTATACATTTATTTTTTTACGAAGCCTCTTTTCCATTCATGGCAATATATATATTAAGTATATTACTTCTGAGGTTTCACTTTCTACCACAAAACGTCCTAAACAACTTCCTACATCCATAAACAAACGCATTTTGCCTCGTGGAATGGAAAATTCCACCTTTCACATCATGAAAATGTTTTTACTATTGCACTCATAAACATTCATTATTAGTTTATTATTTTATGTATCCACATGACTGGGCGTAAAAGTTATAATCAACCTGTACAGCATATTTCGTTTTTTGTCGTGTTTCTCCCAGTTTTGAACGTGATACACACACACATCTTCTAAAGAAGACCTTACTTGAAAAAACGAGCGGGGAGCCGGACCACCACCATTTTTTTTCTGGACCTCACCACTCGACAAGCAAACAAATCTTATTTATTGCTTTTATTAGAAGGCGCAGTATATCTTCCGACCGAGATGTCGCGAACCAGTACCGTTCGGTTTCAATGGAGAAATTTATGGTTTTCGTGCGTTCTGAGGCATCCACTGTCAATCTCAAGGTGTCAGGATGCGAAATAACAGTTTGTATTCCTGCTTCTGATCATACACGAAACGTACAACTGCACAGAAATGTTGGTTCCTGGAGTGTCGATTTGTCGCGTAATAACCCAGGATTTGGCAAACCATATTTGTTAAAGTTAACCAATCAAGAAAAGGTGCATTATTTTTTTTAAATAGGATTTTTTCATGTCTAGCTGACTTGTTTTTGAGAATGATCAACACTAAACCCGATTTACATTACGAAGCATAACCTGGATTATTCCCAGGTTATGCTTCATAGCCAATGAAGATATGGTGCGAAAAAGTATAGTGTAAAATGCGTTTAACCTCGTTTAAAACTTTTGCAAAGTGAATAAAATTCTAAACAGATTCACGTTCAATAATAATTTATGAGGATATTAGATGATCATTCTAAACCTGGTGGTGAATTATGTGTGCTGCAGTCCTACGACTTGATCAAGATTTGATCCAGTGCAAAACCTGGAAAAGTCTTTGATCAACAAAGTTCTATTTACAGATTTAAAATATTTCAAATTTCTAGAATGACGAGATAAAAGTTTCCATTGTTCCTGAACGTGATTTTATCAAGACGAGTATGCTTCATTGCACATTTAAAAGTCTAACAGAGTTCTCTCTTACTGGTCCAAACTTACGAGTAGTAAACTCACTGTATGATAACACATTAACTGGAATGAGTCTTCAGCTGAATTCAGTTGGAAATTTAAGAATATCGTCTCATCCACTGCAAGTGAAATCTCTTGACATCAGTGTGAGGCCTCCCGAAGGTAAGTGCCTCATGAAGAAATATTAGCAGAATACCATGTAATTTCATAGATATGAATAATTCATAAGCAAGACACAAAGGAAATATCGGTACCATGTCGTTGACTTGATGTTATGGTAATGAATTTGGTTTCAAACTGGTTCATGTGAAAAGTCACTTTTCTAGTTAAATACATTTTAATGTTTGCGATGCAATCCCACGCCATGATTAATTGCCTTATTTTAATTATGTAAATTATATGTGTATTTGTTTTACCCATATTTTACATTTACCTATATAGGGGATCCAGGCAACAGTAACGTATATGTGGACACTGGGGCTGCCGTTAAATGTCAAAGTTTGACGGCGTGTATCGAAGATGGCTCCAACGTATTCTTGAATGGCACAGTAACGTGCACTCCTTCATGTAATAATCTGAATGTTCGAGTAATATCTGGCAATCTCCATGTGAGTGTGAGCGGAATTCTAGGACAAAAGGTCTTCACAGATACCGTATCAGATAAAGATATCAAGAAAACAAATAAGAAAAAAAATCAACACACGAGCAGTTTCAATGGATATAAAACTCCACCCAGCACGTTAGAACAGAACAGCAAGATGGACGCATCCTATGAACAGGATGCAAAGACTGATTCATCAGGTCGACAGAATACCAAGGCCGAAACAAACAAACTGTATTTGGTAATTGACGAAGGAAACTTGACAAATTTTGGTAGAATCTGTGCTAAAGAGTACTTGTTGTTAATCTGCGACACCTTGATGCTCTGTAAGGATTCCAAGCATGATACAGCATCCAGAGGGTTTCGCAGTTACACTGCATTGCAAAAAGAATCTGGATTTTTGTCAAGTATCAGCGTACAAGAAAATCCAAAACAACGCTCTTCGTCTTATGATTCTCGATTACTTTCAACTGTGCAAAGTCTTGATTCTAAACGTTTGATATCAATTTTGAATGAAGAAGTCGATCCAACGATCAAGGTAGATGATCGTAGTATTTACACTGAATTCAATAATATCTGTGGTGAAAGAAATAAAGCAACTTACGATAAAGATAAAGTAGAAAAAGACTTGATACGTAGATGTTTGAACATCTGGAAGTGGAAACATGGTGTAATTTCCTGTACATCAATAACGTGTGTAGTGAAACAAGATATTAATGATTGTTCACAACTACAGAGCAAGGAATTAGCTTTGCAGGTCGATGGAACTGCAAGGGTGGCAAGACCGTGGACATGGAAATGTGGAGAATTATCTGGTTTTGTGAAAGGAGATTTTCTTTTCCATGATAACGCTGTGCTTACAAAATTTAACAAATTTTGTGTATTTGGTAATTTTCGAATTTTTCGAACATCCAGTGTTCGTGTTCAAGAAGGTGGTGACCTAATCATTGGTGAGGAATTTGAAAATAACAGTGTGTTAATCAGCGATAAAAATCTTAGTTTAACTCTTGGTTACCTGAAACAAGCAAGAGCCAGTTCTATCATCAGCAATGAAGATCTTCTTGTCGCTTTATATAGGAAAATTGAGGATGTTTGGTTTGGAAATATCTATGCTGATCATCGTCTCTTTCTCCAGGTGCAAGAACGAGTTGTTTGTGACGCTTTATGTGTTGCAAAAGCAGTTCATCTGGAATTCTTTGGAGAGCGTCCACAATTCGTTGTCACACAAGTACTTCTTGCTGAGGAAGGCAGCTTGAACATGTGGGCTGAAAATGAATATGAAAGCGCTAATTTTCTCTTGTCTGGAAAACTAATTTCCAATGGAATACAAGCAGAAACAGCAAGTGTGTGCGTTCTGCCTGGTGGAGTTGCCGAACTCACTTGTGAATCAAATGTCAATGAAGTTGATGTGATCACGAGATGGCTACATATCAGCAATCAAGCAGTCATGATAAGTAAATCGAAAGAAAACATCAGAAATCATGTATCAAAAATCATGAAGAATTATAACTTCACAACTAGCGTTTACTGTGAGGAATCTATTTTTGTTGATGGTGCTTTGGGAGCCTTTGGTTCAGATCTTAGCATTTACTGCGAGGCCTTGAGAAACAACGGCGTAATAAAACTATCCACAATTAATCGTTCCTCCAGTTCACTTCACATTGAATGTGACAAAGAGCTTTTCAACTCTGGCACTATTGGATCGGAAGGAAACATGACTATTGATGCGATGATTGTCTCTAACGAAACTGGTGTAATTAAGTCTTCACCAAGTCTCAGAATTTCGACAAATTTTCTTGGTGCAACATCATTGTGTGGCCAAATCCTTGTAGACAAACAACTGTTTATTCATTCAAAGTCAGAAGAAGAGCTTTTGTTGAATGTGATTGGTGGAAAAAGCGAAGGTGACCGGCATTTTATCCCTCCTTACCAACTTGAAGTGAAATGCAAAAACGCTAATTTAAAAATCGATTCAAGTATCATATGTCCGGAACAGCTGTCAAACGAAAACGAAGGTGAAAGTTCTATAATGGTTCTTAGTCTGCACAATTGTTTGAGTCTAACAAGGGAATGTGTGTTAGAAGATGTTCGTATTCAGTTCATCCAGATTGAACAAGAAGACAACAATGCAGAAGAACCCTCAAAATTCGTACTTCAGGATTCATTTAAAGTAAAATCACTTTATCTTTCTTCTGGAAATGCGCTGGAGTCTGAAGTGGTGAGAAAAGGCAAGATCTCGTTTGGAGGTTCAAACAAGTCAACTGTTGTTGACACTCTTGAAGTCGATGGAGCAGTTCATGAAGTTATATTTGGAACAGAAAATCTGTTTGTTTGCACAGAAGCAGTCCTAGATTGTGAAAGGGCTACAATAAAAACAGATTTAGAGTGTGTGGAAGTTCACGCGAACAACCTGAATGTTCATGGACAGATGAGATGCATGGGAGGAAGCTCCGACGATAAGAAATCCTTGGTTAAAGTTAAGCATACTTTTAGTACAGACGGCAGTGTTTTATGTGCTGGTTCTGTTGAAATGTTCATTGGTGAATCGTTTGAACAAACAGAAGATGGAAATATAGCTGTAGAAGGAGACCTTCTGTTAAAAATCGTCAATGAGAATGGACACACCTCTTTAGAAGGTTTGACTAAAGGCCAGAAAGAATCAGTTATGAAAGTTGAAAGTGATAACATCAAAGTTTCAGGATGTGTGTCAAAAGTTCATACTCTTAGTTTGAACGCCGAAATCGACATGGCACTTTACGAGAAAAGTAGAATTTCATGTGAGGAAATTGACGTGACAGGAAAATGGATTACAACTGCAGGGACGATTAATGGATTCAACACACTGAGCATCGAACCATGGGCAATAATGAACACTGGTATAATTGAGTCTAAGAACGACTCCTCTAGTATTTTCTTTCAGTCTGATTTAACCCTAATTAACAGCGGTATTTGTCGTGCACAGATGACGTATCTCGAAGCACCATTCTTATTAAATCTTCCTGGTAAAGTAATTTCTGATGTGAATGACGTCACATGTTGCGAATTGGTTGGTAAAGAGAAGCTTAAGTTAGAAAGCATTGCCTGTTTTCTGGGTGGTTCTTCTCTTCGCTCGTGTAAAAGATACGAAAATTTGAGCGTGCTGCTGTTCAAATTTTTAACCTATATTGCCTGCACGCCTGATTCGAAGAATTTAGAGGCATGGTCGAAAGCTGCAGAGTCCCTGAGGAACATTCAATCACAGGTTGTTCACGATGCTAGTAAACAAGACTCGACGATATTAAAAACCCTGATGAATTCGAAGGATTTAGTTACAGGTACGGAAGTTGATTTGAGGATTTCGAGGATGTATGACATGGTTAACGATTTTGTTGCTGAGATTTTGAAGAAAGGTATCATGTCGTTTGACCACACGAAACTAGTGCATATCCTAACAATCGAGAGTGAACGATACACGAAGATCAACATTTTAAAGGAAAAATTACTAAAAATTCCAGAAAGAGCGAGGGCGATACGTGAGCTAATGAAAAAAAGAGCAATCAAAATAAAGAAATCAGTCAGAAAAAAGTTTACATTTTCAGATCCTAAAATGCAGAGTCAACAACAGGATGGCATCTTTGAATCTGGATTTTACTCGTTTGG